GGGATGGAAAAAAAAGGGGGGGGGGATGAAAAAAAAAAAATTTTGTGGATGGAAACTGGGGATTTTTGGGATGGAAAATGGGGATTTTGGGGATGAAAACTGGGGATTTTTTGGGATGGAAAAATGGGGATTTTTTGGGATGGAAAAAGGGGGTTTTTTGGGATGGAAACTGGGGATTTTTGGGGATGGAAAAATGGGGATTTTTTGGGATGGAAAAAGGGGGTTTTTTGGGATGGAGAATGGGGATTTTTTGGGATGGAAAAATGAGGATTTTTGGGATGGAAAAATGAGGATTTTTTGGGATGGAAAAATGAGGATTTTGGGGATGGAAACTGGGGATTTTTGGGATGGAAAATGGGAATTCCCACCTGGAAGCCGCGGGTGCTCAGGGCCCGGGGCCCCTCGGCGGCGCCGTGAAGGCACCGGGGGGAATAAATTGGGGAAAATATGGAATAAATATGGGGAAAATATGGAATAAATCAGGAGGGAAAAGGGATGGAAAATGGGGATTTTTGGGGATGGAAAATGGGGATTTTTGGGGAAGGAAACTGGGGATTTTTTGGGATGGAAAATGGGGATTTTGGTGATGGAAACTGGGGATTTTTTGGGATGGAAAATGGGGATTTTTGGGATGGAAAATGGGGATTTTGGGGATGGAAACTGGGGATTTTTGGGATGGAAACTGGGGATTTTGGGGATGGAAAATGGGGATTTTGGGGATGGAAAAATGGGGATTTTTTGGGATGGAAACTGGGGATTTTTTGGGATGGAAAATGGGGATTTTGGGGATGGAAACTGGGGATTTTGGGGATGGAAAATGGGGATTTTTGGGATGGAAAAATGGGGATTTTTGGGGATGGAAACTGGGGATTTTTGGGGTGGAAAAATGAGGATTTTTGCGATGGAAACTGGGGATTTTTGGGATGGAAAATGGGGATTTTTTGGGATGGAAACTGGGGATTTTGGGATGGAAACTGGGGATTTTGGTGATGGAAACTGGGGATTTTTGGGATGGAAAATGGGGATTTTTTGGGATGGAAACTGGGGATTTTTGGGATGGAAACTGGGGATTTTGGGGATGGAAAATGGGAATTTTGGGATGGAAAATGGGAATTCCCACCTGGAAGCCGCGGGCGCTCAGGGCCCGGGGCCCCTCGGCGGCGCCGCGAAGGCGCGAGTCCAGCGCCCGCAGCAGCGCCTCGGTGCCGCGCACGTACTGCAGGTCCCGGAACGTGCGCAGCTCCAGCACCTCCATGGACTGCGAGATGTTCTGCACCTGCGGG